TTTAGGGTCCATGGCACTCCCATTACAAGCATTGCTGATTTGACTGCCTTAATGGTGTGTGAGGCCTTTTCACCAGCTTGAGCGACAATGGCAAAAACATAAGAGGAGTAAGTGTCTATGATCACATGGTTGTATTTAAGGTTTCCAAAAGGAGGGTGGTGCGACACAGCCATCTGCCAGAGTGCATTGGGCAAAAGGCATCAGGAGTTAACTCCATATTGATTGAGGGGGCCTAAGGGTGCAAGGGGTGCACATGTAACACAAGACCTGCTCAGATGTTTACATTGAGAGATGGGTAGGTCGGGTAGAAGGTGGTGCAGACTGCGAGGAGAAAGATGAAATTGTTGGTGTAACGCTCTGGCTTGTTCTAGCAGAGGAATCTCTACAGACATAAGTTTATTTACTTTGTCATTTCCCTTTGACAAGATCCTGGGGAGCTTTGTGTGTGATCTTATGTGGGAGATGTGCCAGGGCCATTGTCTGTTGTCTAAGATAACCTGGAGAGCTCTCATCATTACCATTACTCGAGTAAAGGGAAGACATCTGAGGGCCTGAACCACATACTGGCTGTCGGAGAATATATTGAGCAGCTCAGTCTGGCAGACTTGGAAGATCTTTAACAAGGCCAGGAGCTCCCCCAACTGGACAGAGCCTGGATTGGCTTGTATGTAACAGGTGTCATTCTTTCCCATGTGGTGAATGACAGTGCCATAACGGGACTTATTGGCACCTGAGAAGACTAGCGTCGCTAAAGGTCGGGGGGTTTTGCAGGGGGAAGTGTGTGGCCGAGTGGTGATTTCCAAACAGGCCAGGCTGGCCAGTCACTTATCTGGGGGTGTGTGGTTATCCAACTCCCCTGTAAACCCAGACATCATTAGTTGGAAAGCCAGAGAGTCTGCCCATAATGTTGGGGAATGCTTAAAAGGAAAGGGCAGTATAATTTTGTCAGGTTCCTTTCCGAATATGTGCCTGGCTGTTTGTCGGGCCTTAATTGCTAACTTGAAGGCAATATCACACTTAGAGCTAAGCCTAGTTAGGTCCAAGGTAGCCAGGTGGATCCACACCAGGGGTCTTGCTGCCATAGCGCCCCCAAGACACCATTTTTCATCCAGAGGATTAAGGCCAGTAATGGTTCTGCTGGGTCATGACGTCAGAGTGATGCAGACCAGAGTATATGATCTATCTTATTAAGAAGATCCTTAGCTGACTGGGTGAGAGGGATCCTTGAAGTTGGTTAATTATGGCCTTCCAGGAGGGAGAACAAGGCCTGGAATTCCAAATCAGGGACTGGTATTAATTGTTTGAGCCAGTTTATAGTCCCACAGAGTTCTTGGAGCTCTGTCAAAGTATATACAGTTTTTTGAAAGATGGAAGGGTTAAGCGGTTTAATTACAGTATCTATATGGTAGCCAAGGAATGTGAAAGGTTGGATGTATTGTAATTTTCTTGTGCAGTGTGGAGACCTAGACATTCTAAATTGGCAAGCAGACTGGGCATTGCAGCCTGTAAAGTATTGTGAGGTTTGTGTGCTAGCAGTATGAAGTCCATATAGTGGATGACAATTAGGTAGGGCAGATAATTTAGGTTCTATTATAGGCCACTGGTCCACCTAAATGGCATCATTAGAGAGCCAGGTGATGGGGATTGGCTCAGATGCCAAGATTGGAGTCGATCCTGGGTGGGCAGTGGCCGTTAGGATTGGGTGTGTTGGGCAATGTGTAGTCCTTTCCCTGATAGACCCAAGTTATCATGGAGCATGATATCATCATAAAAGGTGCAGTCATCCATGGTAAGGACCACTTCCATGCCCTCTAGGGCATCTCTGCCCCATAAGTTACGGGGAACATCCACTACTATGGGGGTAACTGTGCCCTGGTTCCCATCCAAGTCCTTCCAATATACTGGACATGTGACCAGCTTGGTACCTTGCCAATGAGGGAATTTAAGGGATTCAGTTTCTGATATAATGGTGACATAAGCCCCTGTGTCTACTAAGCCCTTTATGGCAGTTCCATCTAGGAACAGGATCATTAGTGGGGAGTGGTTGAGGATTGGGAGAGTCCATAATATCTGTCTCATTTCCCCTCTTGTGGGCGGGGCTGAGGGGCACCCCGGGTGGGGTTTAAAGGAACCAAGTCCGGTTGAGAATGTGACCTACAGTCTTTAACCAATGGAACCCTCTTTTGTACTTGGGGCAGCGAGTCCTGGGGCGGACTGTACCTCTTGGGCAGTGGCTACAAAAGTGGCCAAGCCCCCCACAGTTCCAACAGCCTTCCCACGCGCCAAAGTGGGCAGATTTTCCTTGAGACAAAAGAGCCTCCAAGGGGGCAGTCAAAGCCTCAGTAGGGCCCGCCCTAGGGTCCAAGTCTCTACATTAGTGGGGAGTGGTTGAGGATTGGGAGAGTCCATAATATCTGTCTCGTTTCCCCTCTTGTGGGCGGAGCTGAGGGGCACCCCAGGTGGAGTTTAAAGGAGCCGAGTCCAGTTGAGGATGTGACCTACAGTCTTTAACCAATGGAACCCTCTTTTGCACTTGGGGCAGCGAGTCCTGGGGCGGACTGTACCTCTGGGCAGTGGCTACCAAAGTGGCCAAGCCCCCCACAGTTCCAACAGCCTTCCCACGCACAAAAGTGGGCAGGTTTTCCTTGAGACAAAAGAGCCTCCAAGGGGGCAGTCAAAGCCTCAGTAGGGCCGCCCTAGGGTCCAAGTCTCTAGTAGTGAGTACCCATTTGTGATCGGACAGGCGCAATAGCATTAGTAGGAATGTTTAGTCCCTCCAAGTTAATTAATAGCATTAGTAGGAATGTTTAGTCCCTCCAAGTTAATTGTTTGATAAGCACCTCTCGGGTGGGTCCAGACTCCACCCTCTGCTCTACTGCCTCGGTGACATGGGTAAGGAAGTCTGTGAAGGACTCCCCTGACTGTTGAATCAAATTACAGAAAAAGACTT